GTGTGTGTGTGTGTTGCGTGCGTGCGTGTGTTGCGTGCGTGTGTGTGTGTGTTGCGTGCGTGCGTGTGTGTCGAGGGGGATTCCATGTTACCTCATTGTGTCCAGGATGTCAAGGATGGTTGTGTCTATGAGAGCTTGTTTGTGTGCACTGATTGTGTGTGTGAAAAGCGACAATGTCAGATAATCAGACTAAATGTGTCCGCTCTGTGCGTGCGTGTGACTATAATGTGTCAGACAGCCCATGCCATGAATCAGTGGGGCGAGGTCTGGGGCACTCTGCCTTACATTACTCAGTCTGTCTTTATCTTTTTTTCCCCTTCTCTCACAATCTCTTCCTCATTTTTCTCTTATCTTGCTCGGATCTTTTCGTAATCTATACGTTTCCTCCCCTGCCTCTCTTTTCCTCCTCCCCCTCTCTATCTTTGTGTCAATATTTCATCCCTCCTTTGTCCCTCAAGGGCCTAAAGAGGTGTAAGAGAAGTGGAAATGTGTGCTAGATATGCCTCTGCACTCAAACCGTTCACTCTTTCTCCCATTTCCTCTATCAGATTGTGACTTTAGTGTTATTTTTAATGTCAAACTCTTTATCTCCTCATCTTCCTGCTTTTTTTATCTCACATTTGGAACCCACGGGGGTTTTTGAAATTTTCAGAGTGAGAAGAGAAGGTGAAAGAGGACACTCTAAACTATGAGCCTCATGATGCGGTGTAGTGGAGAACAGAGAGATACGCTCTTTCAAACGATCTGGGACATGCAGGAGACAGCAGTGGACATTATTTACTGTTCTCTCAGCTGTGTGTGTGTCTGTGTGGTTGACGTCATGTTATTCAAAGCTATTAGAGCTGAAAAACAAAATCAAACGTAGAACACTCAGACGTAACTGGAAATTAAATATTTCCAACACAAGGAAATAAAAGAACCCATGACATCAAGTTTGTGTGTGTGGAAGCCTTCGTCAGCAGATTTGGTTGTCTGACTTACCTAGGCGTGACTGGACGAACTTTGCGTGTGTGTACAAGAAATGGGTAGAAAGAATGCATACAAAAGTGAGCAAGCCCTCATGTGTTGTTTTTTCTCTCTCGAGTGACGCCGTGACGTTCACAATAGCATGACTGATGCTGGTATGCAGGTTGTGTGTGCAGCCGTGAGAAAGTTCGAAGGTGTGTGTGTTGAGGCAGTGTAAGGGATTATCAACCATTTTTAAACAGAGCATTGATGTTTTTTTTAACCTTTAATTATTCAGGGAAGGGTTTCGCTGAACTCCCTTATTCCCCCAGCAACACCCTGCTCTCCAATCTGTACTGATCCACACATTCACACCTGGGAGCTACCTGACACAGGAGCAGCGGCAGGGTTTGGTGCGTTGTTCAGCGCCACGTTCTCAAGGATCTTCTACTTTGCCTTCAGCATACTAACGCTCCCTCCTAAGTCAGCCTTCTCCATTCAAATGTCAAATTCAAATACGCCTCACAAGATCTCTGAATTTCAATCCGCATTTTTTCAGTTGACTTTCTCGTGAGTGTGTGTTTGTGTGTGAGCAGCCCGACATTTTAAGCATGGCCTAGCGATTGTAGACAATGCCAGAGTGGGCGTGCCTTGTGCCCCCTTCCAACTTTTGATTGGCTTCCAGGTCGAATCTCAGTGCACTTAATTTAACCGGCGGAATTTTATTTACAGAACGGCACACACCAGGCTGTGAGAGGAAAGGACTGTGTGAAAGACTTTGGATTTTTTTTTTTTCCGTCTCATCTGAGTGTGTAAAAGAGACAGAGATATAGTGGTAATGAGGGAGATGGCCTGTAAATGTGTCATATTTCACTTAAATTCATTGTAATGTGGTTAAATATACACCTCAATATATACAGATTTGTGTCCTAGGGTCATTCATATGTCACTTGAATTCACAGCCATCCACAAGAGCTGTTGTGGTCGTGACGTACGACTCCTGGAAGAAACTGTTCTGTACTTAGAGAGGGGAAGGGGGGGGGCATGCAGGTGCATCTACTGCACTTTCTTGTTCCGACAAAAGAAGAAAAAAACAGAACAAAGATGTGCGGAGAGCCAGAAAAGAAGCAGTGAAACAGGGAACAGAGCAGAGAGGTGATAGAACAAAGTGAGACAGAAATTGAGAAAACAAAGTGTCCAGATGTGAAAAAAAAGATGTTCTGTTCTCACACTTAATTGGTTTGTGTGTCTGGAGCATCCATTTCTATGTAACGTCGCTACCTTTTTAAATGTAATTCTCTGTTCATACCCTCACATGAAACAGAACCTTTTTTTAGTTACTTGCGAGCAGTTCTGGAGGACATCTGTGTTATCGATTTTTCTCATCAGTGCGTGTTCTGCTGGTCAGTGACTCACTCCTCAAATACCGTTTGTTTTTTCCGCACGTGCTCAGTGAATGACCTCCTGTTTCACTTCCTCTCACAGATCCAGTCACATCATGACTTAGCGGCTTCACAAGCCATAAATAAAAGAGTATATCATTTTAGCATTTGTATCAGTGTGCAAGTTTGTTTAGGAAAATGACTCAGCAAGTCATTATCACTGAAACCGTGTGTGTGTGTCCAGTAAATGCACTCACAGTAGATGAAACTGAATACATGTATACCGTGTACCCATTATAATATGTGGTTTCACTTCTGCATCCAGCATCTCCGTGTTATAGAAACTTTCTGCAATTGCTTCAGTGCTTTATTTAGCACAAACCTGACACACACACATTACCAGAACCCAGCCATTGCTCGACACACACACAAACACACGCACGTTTCCGGACACGCACTCTCACCAATGTCTGACCTTTGACATTACATCCAATTAGTTCCCCTTCAAAAATCAATGAGCCCATTAACACTTTTACAGGCGTGTGTGTGTGTTTGTGTGCGTTTTTCCAGTGTGAGTGCTGTGTGTCCCTCTCTGTGTGTATCTGTAGCCTGCACTGTATGTGTCTGTCTGCCGTCCTTGGCGCAGGGTGCCGTTGTATGTGTGGTATGTCTGACCCAGAAAGGCTTTGCCAGGGGTCCTATGGATGAATGTAAAGTAGAGAGACTGATGCAAACACAAACACACACATGCACATATACAGCGGGGTTTTGACCTAGGCTTGTTGAGATAAACAGGGGTTAAGGGAGGTTGTATGTGTGCACAATTTAGTATTACACATTTGTACTTTTTAGCAGATGGTACGATACCATATTGTGTGTGTTCACTGGAGTGTAAATATACTGTACTTAATGATCAACCTTCGACGAGAAAGCTCAGCATCAGCTGACGTGCCCTTTAACAAGACAAATAAGCTGTTTCTCAATTGAGGGGCTGCGTCCTTCATCAGCTGCATTCGTAGACTCGATAGCGTCACCGCTGCGACTGCCCCAATTCAGAGGCTCCTCCAAACGCGCCCAGCAAATATGGCCTTCCAGCCCCGAGCAAATGATCAAAATCAATCGAAGAATATTTTGGTCTGTAGCTTTGTTGCTAGGCGACAAAGTAACGGCAGGAGAAGCTGGAGATGCAATAGGCAGACCAGACCATCTCACTTATGTTCGGTCAGAGGATGCCGATGATGTCGGCTGCATAGACTGGTTCATCTGCTGAATTGAGACACAGCTAAACGTGACCCCTGACCTCTTCGGGTCAAATCTTGAGTGAAATTCACCATTAGTAAGAGAGATTGGGATGATTACTGTGTAAATCATTAAGCTCTTCAGTGTGTGTCATGTTTTTATCATGTTTGTCTCATTTTCTTTCATCCATGCATGTTTACATGTGGCTTGTAAGTCATGTAGATGATTGTTGTCATCCTGTGTGATTCACACTGAGTAAGCAATTAGAGGATTGGTCGTCTTGCCCCCGGGCACTCGGGTTAAATTAAGGTTCCATCAGCAGCCGCATGACCAGACAGGCATGCCTGCTGCTGGAAATATAAACTGTGACCATTTATCGACAAAGTCACCGTGCCACAGCCACATGTCAGCTGACTGTATGAATGTACTATTCCCCCTCACTTCTTTGTTCGTTAACAATGGCTCTGACTTTTGCCTTGCAGGGGTCGAGTGTTTTCTCTCGACTTTGGGGCGATGCGAGTGTGTGATCTGGAGTTTGACCGGGTCAGACGACTGACCACTCCCCCGAGCCCTTTGCCCACGCCCACAACAATCCCAAATCCTACCCCCAGCTGTCACACGGTGTGGAAGTACTACTGCAGAGACAACTTTGGCTGGAGGGAATACTCTGAGGTGAGCCGCTCAATGTGTGTGTCTTTGTGTGTCTGTGTGCAGGCTGTATGAACATGAAACCAGACGCATTAACGCTGCTCACACCAATCACTTGTCTAAACACTGTGATGGGATCAATTCGGACAAACACTCCCACTCCTGAATACCCCCTGTGTCACAGCTGTCCACAGCCAACTGCAATTCCACTAAATCAGTAGATTGTTTTTCTCTCTTTCTCTCTCTCTCTCTCTCTCTCTCTCTGAGTCTGTGTGTGTGTGTGTGTGTGTGTGTGTGTGTGTGTGTTGTTATCAGTTTGTTAGTCTGTACATTGCACAATAGCTCACAGATAAGTCTCTTCTTTTATTAAATGAAGATAATGATAAATTAATTAAAAATTAAAAACAATAAACAAGTCTAAACTCCTCTTCATCTCTTTGTCCTCTTCTTCTTCCTCTTCTTTCGTTACTTTTTTTCCCCTCCCTTCAGCCGGTGGTGAAGCTCATAGAGGAGGCAAGCTCGAGGGGTCTTAAGGAGGTGCGGTTCAATACGCTCCAGAACCAGTATATCCTCAACATCAGGGAGGGCTTCCAGCAGAATGCTATCTTCGGGTTCAGACGCCAGATCAAGAGGCGGCCAATGTTCATGTCCTCTGTAATGCTTACACCCCATCTACAGTAAGTAAATACTTTTAACATACATATGTTTATATATATATAAAAAACATGGGGAAAAAGAGAAGACTTAGAAATTTCAAATGAATTTACAAATGAATGAATCAGCTATTACGTATCTATACATAGACTCGATTTTTTTGTCTTCTCCCAAATAACTGGCTAATTTATAAATTCCACACGTAAAAAATCTTTGCATATCATCCATATTACAAAATCATTTTCTTTTATTATTTTACAAAACAGAGGATTACGGCAGCTCACAATAATCACAATAACTTTCTGCTGTGCTGTGAGCACCAACAGAGACCAGAGCTCCTTTTCCCCTGGTCAGAAAACTCACTAACACCCGTTAACATCTGGCCCTTCTCTGCGATGGGAATGGATACAATCGGCGTTCACTCTGGGGTCAAATGACTCTTGACATGTATTTTTATCAGCTGCGGCTCTGAACGACAGTGTCAAAAACATGGCACGTGAAAGAACAAGCTAATCTCCTCTTCTTTATTTTGGCAGTCGAGACGCTGACTGTTGAACTTTCCCATCATAATGTTGTGACACGCATTGAACTTCCGGGCGTTGGCACATAAATAGCCATGAACGTTTGTCTGATTAATTACTATATTTTTACATTTCGGGAACAAAGCAGAACAGTGATTTTTGTATTTGCTTTATATCGTGCAAAATGCAGCAATGGCAATGGTTTCCGGTGCGGACCTGACGTCGAACATGGCGCACCAGGGGGGACACAGCAAAGGCAAACTCCTCTACTTCCTATAAAGGAATCAATCGCCTTTTTGAGCATTTACAAAACCCACCCATACCCACTAAGTTTGGAGTAAAGGAAGTGTAAGCTTTGAGGCTATTTAGATACTCGGAAGTAGGCTGTTATTTCCAGGCAGTATATTCACTTCTATGAAGAAAAACCAAGCACACTGATAAGCACGAGAGTTTAGAACTGCTGCTAGTTAATAGTTATGCAAAGTTGAAGGAAGGATCAGTCCTCAGTTCAGAGGTAGATGTCCCTCATGTGATTGATGGTCTCTCCTTGTCTCTTACTGCTGCTTCTGTTTCTCTTTGTATCTGCCGTTTATTTACCACCCTGTTAGAGAACATCTGGTATTTTGTATATGAACTCTACGTTGACAATTGAAACAAGGACCTCGAGGTGTCTGGCATCACACACACACACACACACACAAACACACGTATACACAGTTTGCTCTCCCTGTGGCTCTCCCTGCTCTGTGAGTGTCCCGAGTTCCTGTTTGGAGACAGGCAGGCACACGGAGGTCGGTACACAATGCTAATGTCCCAGTCAGGGCTAAATACTCAAAAGACTCCGAACATCACATTCACCTTTAATCCAATTGCAAGACTGTGGCACTCTGGCAGTCTGAGCTGAAGCCAAAGCCCACATTAACAGCTAAGATTTTTGGCAAATCAGGTAGTATCTCCGGGACACGGGAGAACGAAGCAGGCCGATGACAAGAGACCGAACAGAAAAGAATCAAATCAAGAATTATTGCATTAGTAATTTAAACCAGTTTTAATTCTTCTATTTCCTAAACAGTGAACAAACTAAATCTCTGACTTATTTGAAAATTTTACATTTTTTCTAAAAGCTGATTTCAGAAATTCTCAGCTGCCACTTTCTTTACAGCAGTGAAGCGACCTGCCTTGCTGCACCCGCCCCAGTTTTATTCCTCAAACTAGTGATACCAGATGCAAACAACTAGGGTGATCTTATTCGTTTTTTTTCTTCATTACTTCCTTTGCAGAGCAAGCAGCTCTGACATTGTTCTCCCAGCATCCCACATGGAGTTAACGGCAGTACAAGCTGTTACCGCAGCGACCGACTGTCGAGAGGAGACAAAATAGAGAGAGGAAAATTAGCTGTAGGAACAGGGAGAAAGATAATGTGAGTTAGAGAGGGAGATAGAGTGAGCATGGTGACAGGAAGTGAGAGAGGTCTAAATGGTTTCCAGGCTGGGTTTTTTTTCGCAGAGTAGAGCTGGTGAGAGAAGGAGTGTGAAAAGCAACTGTGGGAAGCTGGAATTCGGATGAAGGGATTTTATTCTGGGCCTTTTGAAACATTTTGAAACTCAAACAATCTGTGTCCACACAAGGGATTCTGCTCCTGTTGTTTCCCATTAATTATCTAGATTATCTGGGTACCCTGTTCTACCAGCCAAAGCAGTTTTTACACTTCTCATCATAACATAAGAGATCTCAGCACTATGTCCCACATGCTCACTTGTGCTGCTCGAGCTACACCATGCTCACACTGTGGTCCAAAAGCTTTTTGGTTAGTTCTTTGTCTCTCTTTTCTCTCAGTCTTTAGTCTGTGTACCTGTCTATCGGAATCTGTTGCATGTGCGAGTGACTTTAATGCACTTGCTTGTGCTTTCCAGTTACGGCCATGTATTGAATAAATTCTGTTGGCTGGGCATCCTCGTGCCGGTGTACACAGGAAGCATTTGGTTGGTAGTGGCATAATTGTGTTGCTTAAATAATAGCTTATTAGCAGCTTTAAAATTCCAGAGTAATGTGGACACCAGGCGTATCTGTAGCAGAGTAATGCAGTCTGTAGCCTTAATGTGTCAGGCAGTGTCCTCGCAAGTGACCAAAACACACGTGTGTGTGTGTGTTTGTACAAGGAACAATCTGTGCTGGGCTTAGAGGTTGAGGTCATCAGCTTGATTGGCACCCTCCCTCGTCTTCCGTCATGTCTCTGTCACTCTCTCTCTTTCCTGGTGATGTTATTTTTGGTCATCTCCTCAATCTTTCCCTCCCTCCCTTATTATCTGATCTAATCTTTCACCTTTTCACTAGTCCCCCCACCCTACAACACCATCAGTGTCTTGCTATCTGTCCCTTTTTCATTTCACACTCGTTTTCTGCAGCAGCCTGTCTGTGATCTTTTCAAAGCACACGGGGGAATAGAGACATCGATTGCGGCAAGAGATTGAGAACGGATGGACAAAACGAGAGAGAGAGAGAGAAATGAGGAAAGCTGTCACGCTGATTCAGAGTCACACTTTGATCTCACACACACACACACACACACACATATGCACACACACACACACACACTCACACACACACACACACACACACTCTCTTGTGGCTGGTGGGGCTAACAGCATTTACACTCACAGAGTGATTACTTGACAGCCAAACCTCTGTTACTGACTCAAATGCCAGACACAATAGTTTTTTTGTCACTTCAACGACAGCTCCACACTTGGCATTTCATTCTTTCCTCCCACTGTCTTCTTCTCATCCCTCACTCTGCCTCCCCATCGTCTTGTTTGGTGTCTGCTTTCATTTTCACGCTGCCCTGCTGTTTTGTTTGCTCGGCGACGGCTGCTGGCTGCGCCGCTTCGCTTTTCAGCGAAGTCACACCGCTGTTGACAGTTGATGGGACATGGTTTTTGAAAGCGCAGACTTTGTAGCAGGAGAACATCAGTTTTGTTTTATGTCAGGATGCAGCCTTGATTGGAAACACGTGGGGATGAGGGCTGAGGAAGGTGGGGAGATGGGTTGCACGCTGTGATGTAGGGCGTGTTGCTGATGCTTCCATTGCTCTAAATGAACAGGCCTGGGATGCTGCTTTCACTGACCCTCAGGTCGTGGTAAATTAGACTATATAAAACACTTTTTTATGTAGTACAGCAACTAAAATGTCATCATAAAGCAATGACAATTGTTGACTTTAATTTCTCAGCTCCTTTACTCTGATTAAAGGGGTGGATTTGTTGAAAATGTTAGTTCTTACTCCTGTTAAAAAGCTCCTATATTTACCACATGACCCAGATCTTACTGTTGCCTAAGTTGTGCTGTCTGCTGAGGCATCAGTTCCCATATGTTTCTTTGAGTTTCTTTGACAATGGCAAATGTAAAAAGCAACTTTTACAACATGTGAAGGGCTATAAGAAAGAGAAAGAGAAAGAGTGGGTTATTATATAAAGAAATAGCAGTTTTTTCCCACCCCGTGTACTCAGTTTTCTTTTATTATTTCAGTATCTTATGGGGATTTGAATTTATCAGCAATAGTTGATTTTAAGATACATTTCCAACAGATGACCTGCTGTGCTAGACCTACTTACCTCATCCAATAATTGTAATAAATTAATTGTCTGTGTACTCGAGCACTCCCTCTATTCTGCAAAGTACTTAATTACACAGTTGTTTTCATAAACCTGTCTGAATTTACAGTTACATCATGTGCTATCACAGGAAACTGCAGTACCCAAAACGTGTTTATGCAACCACTTATTCTCATTATTTATTAGTGTGTCAGTTTGTAGATTAATCCTTGACTTCACAGAACCTGAATTGCAGACTTCAGATGACTTGTTTTGTCTGATGAACAGTCCAGTGTACCCTCTTATTCAGTTTACACTGATATAAAATGTAGAAAAGCATTCAATCCTTATGATTGAGTGACTGGAACCAGCAAATATTTTCCCTTGATAAAAGGCTTGAACATTTAATGATCAAAACTGTTTAATGTTTAATTTCCCCTCTAATCAAAAATCTAATTTTGTGTTTTTTCTTTTCTTTATAGGACACTGGGCGGCCTCTCTGCACCTCCCCTCCCCTCTTCATCCTCCCCCTCTCCGTCCTCTTCTTCCATGGATCTTTCCGCGTCGCACCCCCTCTCGCCAACCACCACAAACCCGCCAAGCCTTTTCCCAGAAACGTGGTTGCCTATGATGATGAACCAGGACTTCCTGCAGGTGCCTGTATCGCGTGAGGACCGCAGCTACCGCACGGTGTACAGCCTTTTCCACAAGACCGTGTCAGAGACCAAGTTCAGGATCATCAAGATCCAGCGCGTACAGAACCCCTTCCTCTGGGAGAAATATAAGAGGTGAGCTGACAGGCAAAAGCTTTTTTAAATACTTTTTTAAAGAACTTCCTTTTTGCTGTTGATGTTATTCTCAACCCATGAACTATTTCCAGTAATCTAACAGGTTTGAGCTTCTTCATTTCTCTTGAATGTATTTTTTCCTTTGTGGTGCAGCTGTGCCATCGGAGTTTGATGCATTTGTGGTTGTTTTCTTGAACTTAACTTTGCAGATTTGCTAAAAAGATCCATCATAAGCATGGTATGATTTTAAGTAGAAGACCTTTAGTCTGTTTGATGGCAATTTCTAGTTAAGAGATTTGACCTCACTTGGAGACACAAAATTATATTTAGATAAGTTTCTGTTTCTTTACATTCTTTGGTTCCACCGCTGTCCTTGTTCCACATATTTTGCTGTTGTGGCCCAAAGTGTATTGTTCTTATCCAGATTTCAGTTGTTGGAACTATTGGAATATGTCAGACGAAGCTGCATAAGTTCCTGCACACAAAAACCAGAATAGAAACCTTTCCTAACAACAAACACAGGGTGAACAAGACACTGTGAGAGCAGGCAGAAAAGAGAGAAAATAGGGCAAGTGGGACCAGCTGTGTGGCGCTTCGTGAGAATGGATCCACCATGGCGGATGGATGGATGCTTGCAGAGGATGGTGTTCGCTAACTGCTGTGGTGGAGCAGGGCAGGTCCTATCAGATGTGACATTTAGACTTTCCCACACTGACTGTTACAGTTTCACAATGACTGACGGTGTTAATGTGTTTGCCTGAAAGTGATGCTTCCCATGCTCAGGTAATGACTGCAAAACAACGACTGGTTGGTTGTGCGTTTGCATGTGTTAATTTGCGTGTGGGGTGTGTGTGTGTGTGTGTGTGTGTAGATTGGCACGTGAAAGGCTGCTTGTTGATGTCAAAGGAAGTTGATCAGCTTCATCCTAAAATTGGATTTGTGTGTGTGTGTGTGTGTGTGTGTGTGTGTGTGTGTGTGTGTGTGTGTGTGTGTGTGTGAATGTGTGTGTGTGTGTGTGTGTGTGTGTGTGTCAGGTCATAAGCCATAGGGTCAAAGGAGGTCATGCCTGGGTCACAGCCTGTCTGGCTCGAAAACGCTTTCGCCTCAACGTGCCTGATTGATCCGCTCACATCAAAAAGCTGTGTGTGTGTGTGTGTTGCTCAAACAATGGATTAGTCCCAATGTTCTCTCCCTGTTTTAGAGCAAACAAGCTGTTGATCACAACTTTAAAATAGAAAGCTGAACTGCACTCAACTGAGCTTTGTGCATCATCATTTTTCTTGTTTATTACTTTTTATCAATACAGGTACATTAATAAAAAAAACACACACCACACTGAGAATCTGTTTCAACCGTCTGTGTCCCTCTAATGTAACAGGAAGAAGGAGTACATGTCGCGGCGCATGTCGGAGATGGACCGGCTGCTGAGCGAGCGACACCTCTTCCACGGCACCTCTGTCGACGTGGTGGACGGCATCTGCAAGCACAACTTTGACCCGCGAGTCTGCGGAAAGCACGCCACCATGTTCGGCCAGGGCTCCTACTTCGCCCGCAAGGCTGTCTACTCCCACAACTTCTCCAAGCGCTCGCCCAAAGGAGTCCACTGCATGTTCCTGGCCAAAGTCCTCACTGGCAGGTGTGTGTGGTTGCTGTCATTATAGATATAATTTTGTTGTTAAATTGTGACAATTTTATTCAAGGCGATGTGGCGTTTCAATTTGGTCGCCTTAAATTTTGTCACATGCTTTTTCCCGCGGCTTTGTCTGTCTCTGCTGTAACCCCTGTGTGGTTATATCACAGTATTTGTCATTATTGATATACATTGCTTTCCAAAAGTCATAGATTTATGAACATTGTATAATAGTATATTTTTAGAGCTTTCAGTTGAGATTAAAATCACAAGCTAACAATAAGTGTTTTTGGCTACTGCAGCGAATTTAAATATATTTATATGTACACACACACACACACAACATATACCAAATAAAACCACATGTATGAAAGGGATATTAACTGCAGTATTATCAATATATATGAGTTTCTGATGCAGTATTTATGTTGTATTTCAAGGCCTTTAATGTGAAAGGTTAGATGAGTGTGTTTGCAGAAGCACCATTTTCTTAATACTAGAGACACCATCCTTTGTTTTGAGGTGTGGACTGGAAGAAACATCGTTTGGTAAATGCTAAATTAAGGCCTTATGTATCCAGCTTGTATTTGAGTAACATGTTTTTGTATTTCTAAACTTGCTGTTCGAAGTATCCTCCCTCCAGCCCCACCTCTTCCTAAAAAAATCTGTTTTTTTGTCGCCTCCCCTCCCCCTCGCTGTGAGTGTTTTCAAATTAAATACTCACACATAGAACACGTTATAGCATTTATATGGTTTATTGAAATCCCAAGATTATTTTCCATCAACCAGCATTAAGTCATGCTATCCATGATGCTTGTCCAAATTCCTTCAACTGGGAGTCAGATCAAGGGCGACACATGCAAAACGTCAGATTTGGTTGAAGCCATTGTGCATCATCAGTGTTGTTATGCTGCTGTGTGTGTTGCACCCAAAGAAACACAAACCCCACTCACAGCGCCCCCTCCACTCAGAACCTGGGTTCAATTTGTTCCACTGCACAGGCAGAGACATTGCTTCCAGACCTCATTCAACTATAGAAGTTATCTGTACAATGTGATTAACTCCCTGTCTGAAACTGTATCTGGCACACAGACTCTCAGTCATACCCTGTGTCTTTGTCTGGAGCTGAAAATGTTCTTATTCTTATATGTTTTATTTATGACCCCAAAGGAAGTTGTATAAAGATTGATGGATTATGGGTCTTTAGGGCTTGACATTAATATTTAAGGGAGGAAAAACAAACTGGTTAAAATGCATGGACTTATTTCATATAATTATAGTACATTCATTTCATGCACTTGCAGCATATGCTTATATTATTTAAGATGCCCTAAAACACACAGAGGAGCGGCAGCCTTGTAATCATTAAATTTAGACGAGTTTTCTTTTAGATGGTAAATTATTCTTCTGTAACTGCAGACTCACAGAAGTGAATCGAAATCTGTCTCCAGACATTTTCCGTCAGGAAAACTAGGAAATGCAAAGACTATTGTTCATCAGGTTATAGTCCCGTCCACATAACTAACCTTGTCTCCATCTTCTTTGTTGTGTCTGCACAGGTTTACTGTAGGAAATCCCTCCATGCGAAGGCCGCCACCCATCAATCCCCGCGACTCCTCCAGTGATCTTTATGACTCCTGTGTGGACAACTGGGTGGACCCGCAGATTTACGTCATCTTCAATGATGACCAGAGTTACCCTTACTTTATCATTCACTATGAGGAGGTACCCAGCACCGTCTCCGTCTAACCCCCGGATCAGACCTGGATCTGTCTGTTTTTGCAAATACTTACTCATAGTTTGCTTTCATCTGTGTCACAGAGGTAGAGTTTGCCGCTCAAGAGAAGTCTATTGTTGCTTTGGCCAACTCCATTTGGATCTGGTTTTATCCCCATCTGCTGCAGATCAAAGCAAAATCTATGAAATATTTGCAAATATGTGAAGATCCTGGTCTGTAGCCAACTGGATCCAAAACTAGACTGGACTGCAGTTAGGAACAACCAGTCAAAACTGGAACTATAGCAAAGGACGGCACCGGTTTCCTACTGCTTGCAGAGGTGGATGACAACTGACAGCAGCTGCAACATGCCCGACTGGACTCAGATACCACACTTTGTTATCTAGTTTGAACAGGAGCCTCGTGATGATCATCTGAGAGGATTTGAGCTACCTTTTTATTCTGGAAATAAAACAAACCTAGTCCCCCCTTATCATTTTGACTTAGTCATACGGCTGTATATGAACTCCACATCAGGTCAGACGCTGTTGTAGACGGTTAGCATCTCGCCAGTACTGTGAATGACCAATGGCCCGTTTTTATTATTCTGAGGAAGCAGAAACCGACCAGTCAGATGCTTCCGTAGATAAACCAAGGCCACAAACCCCCATTTCATTCTCTTGCAAAAAAAAAAAAAAAATCGTAGTGTTTACCCACCCTCCGGCCCGTATGTTTTTTCAAGTCTATGTGCTGCGTGTTTGAATCTTTTAATTTAGTGGACATGAATCTCGTGGCCTCTTCAACCAGACAATGGACGTGAGTTTCAGTGGGACTTCTCCCCAGTGGACATCCACACATTAAAAACCTCCAGGAAGAGGTTTCACAACAAGCAAGTGCTGTTCGCAGGTTGTCTTTTTTTGGTCTTCGCCACTTTGACTCCTCGCAGGGGACTGAAGAGTGTATAGTTTCCCCACTGAGACTCGACGACGACTATGCTGCAGCTGCGGCGGCACTTAAGCTTTCTGTCAGCGACCCCCCTGAAACTCATCTCTCTTGGACTGCTCTCTCGCTCAGAGACAGTAGACATGTTTTACTGAGACAAACTGTACAGACGTTCTCTGTTTATATTTGAACTGTGTGCCTTTTGTTCATAAAAATGTTTATTTATGTTAGTTTAATGTAACATTGATTAAATAAACAAACTAAAAGAGAAAAACGATTATCTGTTGAAGTTGGTGCTTTATTCAAATCATATACATTCACATTTATTAGAAACAGTAATTGCTTTTTTGCCAGCCTGATATTCCTGTTATCATTTGGTCAATCTGAGAGGGATCAGAGGAGGAGGTTTAATTCGGTCAGTGCAAAATGGAAATTATATAGATTTCATTCATTTGACACTCATTATAGAATGCATATAATATTAGCTACTACAACTTCTTAATCCAAACGAAACACAAAAGGTTTTTGGTGTCTTCGGGTTGTGTATTCCTCTGTCCCAGTCATGTTAGCGAGATATCTCAAGAGCACTGAGAGGAAATTTCTTAAAACTTGTTACAAATGTTTGAGTCAGGATTAATTAATTTGTTTTTGGTTCTCAAAGGTCAAGGTGACTGAGCTATTACAACACACATTGGTTGTCTTGTGAACACGATGTCTCAAGAACACCTTGAGGGTCTTGGTTTGAATGTGGTACAAATGTTCTTTTGGACTCAAAGATGAACTGATTAGATTTTGATGGTTGAAGGTCAAATCTGTATTGTAAAGAGATGGTTTGGCTTAGCTTAGCATTAATAAATGGAAATGGAGGGGAACTTTATATCTTTAAGTATATATGGTGAGTTAGATTAACATATTGTGGTTTTCTAGGGTTGGTAGCATGTATTCAGAAATATTTTGAGTCCGCAGACAGCCACATTGAAACTAGTCTCACCTCCCACAAAGATGTTTCCTTATTTT